ACCAATATTATAAGAATTATTGTTAAAATAATTGTAAAATATATTAAAATAAAAATCAGGAATAAATGTTAGGTAGAGAAATAAGCAACCATTAGTGCTTTATACAAATCACAATAGTAACTTTTTAAAAATATTAAAATGCTCATACAAATTCATAATTTATTTTTAATATTTTAATTTTACTTTTATAGCAATTAAATTAACGAAATTAAATTTTATTATCATTCTTGATAATATATTTAAAACGGTGACGTAATTATTTGGAATTCATGTTAAAATATGCAAACAAAATATTTTAAATGTTTTTAAGACGCATTTTTGTCAACAATCGCGACTTTACACCGTCCGACACTTATCTACTCACTCCATTAACTTGGAGTCTGAAATAAACTTAATACTTCAGTACCACATTCTGCGGTATTGTAATTGTTTTGGATAAGTAAAACAATTTCGTTTACAAGATTTCACTTATTAGATTAATTGCTCCGATAAAATGAAGCATAAAGCATGTAATAAAGCTCGAAAGCTTTATTACATCGTGCAAGTATATTTAATCAGCTTACAGGATGATATATTTATATCGCTTGAAATTGTGGAAATCTGGAAGGTAAGTTCAAGTATAAACCCATAGATAGTAAAAAAAAAAAAAACTGTAGGTATTGCATATAGATCTTTATTTAAGTTTAATGGTTTAAAAATTTAGAAATTACAGAACTTTTACATACATACATACATACATACATACATACATACATACATACATACATACATACATACTTAAATATATATATATATATATATATATATATATATATATATATATATATATATATATATATATATATATATATATATATATATATATATATATATATATATATATATATATATATATATATATACACAGTATCGGACAAAACAAGTGCAACCAAATAATGTTAATTTAGTTTCTTTATATAAAAATGCTGCATTTTTTTAATTTAAAGAAATAACTATGTAACTGTTTTAAGACAACGGTCTTTAAGTTTTATTCATCACAAAGTTTATTATTTGTACACGAAAATTAATAAATTAGTCAAAAGTATTAAAAAAAGTTGATTTCCTTCTCGACAAAACAAGTGCAACTCCACAATAAGGTTGACCAAACTGTATTTCAGTATCAATATTTCGTGACGAATTTTTTTTTGTCGATCACAGCCTTGCATTTTTGAGGCATAGATTTGATCAGGTGATCAATGAAAATTTTTTGCGGAATCGCTGCCCAGGTCATTTGGATTTGTTCAAACAGTTGATCCTTATTACGAACACCTTCACGATTATTTCTGCGGTTGACGATCTCCCACAGGTACTCGATAGGGTTGAGATCTGGAGATTAAGGTGGCCAATCCATCACCGATAGATGGTTGTCTTGAAATCACTGCTTGACTACTTTTGCAGTGTGTTTCGGATTGTTGTCTTGCTGAAAAAGCCATTTTATTGGCATATTCCATTCAGCATGAGGCAACATAATATTTTTGAGGATATTTTTATACATGAAACGGTCCATTATTCCATCGATTCGATGTATTGGACCTAGACCGTTAGCAGAAAAACACCCCCAGACCATTACATTGCCTCCACCATGCTTCACGGTTTTATGGTAGAAACGTAAATTGAGGCGTTTTCCGGCTGGTCGACGTACACGGCAAATGCCATCGCTCCCAATGATGTTGAACTTCGATTCATCACTGAACAGGACAGTTCGCCATTTCTGCACATTCCAGTCATTATGAGATGTAGCAAACAAGAGTCTTTTCTTCTGGTTCTTTAGTGAAATCAGCGGTTTTTTGCAGGGCGTCGAGAAAACAATCCGCCTTCAACAGCACGTTGTCTGATTGTTCGATACAATACAGGCAGCTCTAATTGCTTTTGTATCTCGACTGATGATACCCAGGGATCCTTCTTGACGGATCTGACAAACATAGAATCCTCTCTAGGTGGAACGCGGTCTTCCTTTTTGTTATCTGCTGCCAACTTCTCCGTAGAACGATATTTGGAACATAGTCTTGATACGGTCCATTTTTTTACGCGATATTTATCACAAATACTTTTTTGTGACATTCCACTTACGTAATCGCTAATAATTTTCTTTTTTATTTCCAATCCAAGATTGTCGGGAGCCATTTTTGCACTTGGAGTCATGCTTCTCAAGGCTTACCGTGTAACATTATTGCGAAACATTATTTACGTGTAGCATTACCGTGTAACATTATTCACGTGTATCATTACCATGTAAATTAATCATTTTAATAAATAATTAACCTTGTGATGATACAATAATGATCTGTGGAACACAACCTCTTGGTTGGATGTGGAGTGTATTGATATAATGAAATACTTGTTGTGTTTCACTTCTTGTATTGATGTTCTTCGATAAAGTATTTTGATAAAACTCACTTCGATAAACTGTCTTGATAATACTGACTGAATGACTTCCATATACTGACTGAACTACATGTCGGTTTACATGTCTCTTATATAGTAAAATGAACCTGTGTGAACCTGTTCTTGAAGATTATAGATGCTACTTTTCGATGCTTCTGGAAGCTTCTGGATGCGTCTGGATGCTTCTGAATGTTTCTGGATACTTCTGGATGCTTCTGGAAACTTCTGGATTCTTCCTTTAATTATTAAAAAACTTCCATGACGTTGGCATGGACCAGACTTTAGAAAATGAAACAAACCAAAAAAGTTGCACTTGTTTTGTCCGCTTCAAAATGGCATTTGTCAACAAAATTATGCCTGTGTGCTGTCACCTGTCAGCTGATTGCTCATGTCATGGCATGCTATGACACCAGACTCCTGAACTGTTTGCCTTGGTAGTATAGTTCGTTTCGTTTTTAAGACATGTAAAATTAGGAACATTTTTTAGCATTGTTCGATGTTGGTTGCAAATGTTTTGTCCATTACTGTATATATATATATATATATATATATATATATATATATATATATATATATATATATATATATATATATAATATATATATATATATATATATATATATTAACACACATATTATGGTAGTTAAGTTTGTATTTGTTTTTGTACATTAGTACAAGTTATGCTTCCCATTTTTTATAAGCCCGCACAGAGACTTTGCAGGGTTCACAGAGACTTTGTGGTGCCCAGGATCAAATTTTGTTTGGTACCCCAAACTTTGGATTCCTGAGTATACTGAATTAGGCATGATTTTCACTGATTATGGTCCGTATGTCTACTATCACATTACAATTTAAGAAAACAATAATTATTTTTGTATTAACTATCGCTGCACATAAACACTCTATATTTGAACTTGCTTATATATGATAAAACGAAAATACAAATGCAATTTAAAATGAATGAAATTATATATTTCATCAATAAAATGTTAATTTTGAAGACTAGTCAGATCACACTAATTTCATTTTACGAGTTTCTTCTTTGCGAAACGAGAGATAGATAGATTCTGTTGAGCAACTTGATAGTAGTAAGAAATTCTATTTTTCCAAAAATATTCGATTGCTTCAGAACATCTAGATGACGGATTTCTTCAGAACATCTAGATGACGGATTTTGTTGACGTTGATTTTTTCAATCAACTCCTCTTCTTTTACATCATTAACTTAAAGATTTGTCAGAACTTTGTATTTTTCTTTCTGACTAAGTTTTTCTTCATTACTTGAAGGAGATAAAGAACACCATATGAACAAAAACATATCCTTCGTCTTTTAAGCTGTATCTATTCTGTATCTTATCAGCTGGAGCAGCGTGTCAAGAGCAACATTAAACACGTTCACCTCAAAACCCTTTGATTTGTCTTCATGGAAGTGGGCCGTTTCATTGACTCGCCATAAAGTGTTTTCCTTTTCCTTGTTCTCTTAACAAAATCATTTTGAAACCCAAACGAAGATAACTCAGATGCAACCATTTTTTCTTCTTCGAGGATTAGGGGCCCTGAAGAACGTAGTCGGTCAAGATCATCAATTAGAGTCTTTAAATATATTGTCTTGTCATCCAAAGAAATGCTTCCTGATTGAAGAAGGAGGCAGACATTGTTGACATATGGAAGAGCTTTAAATCAGAAAAAAAGTAAAGACAATGAGTTCGAATGATTGAATCCATTTTTTGAGTGCCTTAACTAAAGTCAGTTGATGATCTTCGAAATCAAGTTCTTCAAAAAATTTCAAGGACTTCAGTATTTCTTTTGATAGTTTTGACAATAGCCGGACAGCCTTTATGCGCGCACTCCATCTTGTTTGGAACGTTTGGTGAAGAGACTGCCCAATTGCCTGATTCAAAATTTTTCAACGCATGGGGTTTCTACTAAGAAGGTTATACAACAATTTGATGTTGCCAAAATAGTTCTTGACACAGTAGGGGATTCTGCAGAATGAACGTGAAAAAACTTATCAAAACTATCTGCAATCAACAATGTGACAAGCATGACACTTTTATACGTTGTGCTAATTCCAAACTTAAGTATGTTCACGCATATACCAAATGAGGATGCTATACGAAAAATCGCGATGATGGAAGCCTGGGAACTAAAAAACCTCAAAAAATTTGACTCCCTACTGCCCAAACCTGAGGGCAGTATCGTAGTAAAAACAGATCTTAAACTTCATTTAAAGTATTGTAAAGTTCAAAAGTCATGGTCATGCAAAATTTAAAATTCACTTTTGCAAAGCATTATAATTCGGCATTGTTAGTACATACTTAAGTTTAGGGTTTGCACAATGCGTGAAAGTGTGATATCTGAAACTTCAAAAAATCGTGCGGGCGCCCATGCAAGCATGACTATCTTTTCTTGCATTGCTTTAAAATTAATTATTGCTGAAAATAAGATTTGTTGATATCATATGTGATTTCGCTAATGTAGAGTTAACATAATTTAATACCAAAGCTTAATTGTTGAACAATACTGTTGCGATACAAAAGTTACTATATTAGTATACTTGATACTAATTTATTAAAT